TGCCTCTGCCTCCTGAGTGCTGGGATTAAAGGTGTGTGCCACCACACCAAACATTTTGATAGTTCTTAAAAGAACATCACATTAGTGCATTGAACTTTAGAAGTCAAGTGTAGGAACAGTTTTCTTTGTATGATGAATGTTGCTAAAATCCCTACAGGTGGCAAATGAAACTTTATATACTAGAATGGCCCCTTCATCCACAGAAGAAAGTTTGGCAGTATTTTTACCTACCCTTAGGGATTTGAGAATAGGTGCGACCAAGGCTTTCCTTCTTCAGGAAAGAAGCAGCAGTCCTTGGCTCCATCTACCTACTTCAGAGAGACCAGGCCCGTACTAGAACCTGGATGCTCATTCCACCCTTGCTTCCTCCTCCAGGTAAAAGCTACTCTTGAGAAGGCAAAACAGACCCTGGAGAATGAGCGAGGAGAGCTGGCCAATGAGGTGAAGGTCTTGCTGCAGGGCAAAGGTGACTCAGAACACAAGCGCAAGAAGGTGGAGGCCCAGCTGCAGGAGCTGCAGGTCAAGTTCAGCGAGGGAGAGCGTGTGCGCACTGAGCTGGCTGACAAAGTTACCAAGCTGCAGGTGAGGCTTCTGTTGGCTCCTGGGCCTGGGCCATTCTCACCTGCTGCCCCATGAACATGCTTCTTCATACTGGCTCCTCAGCCAGGCCTCCATGGTTCAACTCAAGAGCAATCCAGCTTTTCCAGAACAGTCCTGGGCACTCAGCCTTTGCCTTTCTCTTCCCTACCCAGTTGGAGCTGGACAGTGTGACTGGTCTCCTTAATCAGTCTGACAGCAAGTCCAGCAAGCTCACGAAGGACTTCTCTGCGCTGGAGTCCCAGCTTCAGGACACACAGGTGAGGACAGTGCCAGGACCTGAAAGTCCATGAGCCCTAGCTGCTGTGCCTTGTTTGCAGACACTCTGAGCACATATCCTCTCTTCATCCTGTATCTTGGTTGTGGTGTGCTCAAGGCTGTGTCACTGTACCTCCTCAGTGTCCCCCTTGTCCTCTGAGTAGGAGCTGCTGCAGGAGGAGAACCGGCAGAAGCTGAGCCTGAGCACCAAGCTCAAGCAGATGGAGGATGAGAAGAACTCCTTCAGAGAGCAGCTGGAGGAGGAAGAGGAGTCCAGACGCAACCTGGAGAAGCAGATTGCCACCCTCCATGCCCAGGTGCCTCTACCTCCTGGGAAGAGGGAAGTGATGGAGGCGGGTCCAAAACTGTGCTGAACCCCTGAAATTCCCACAGTGCAGCAGGCTTGTTCCTGGATGTCCAGACTAGGTGCCAGTGTGGGTGTTTGCTTAATTTCCCCATTCTGCCCAGGTGACTGACATGAAAAAGAAGATGGAGGATGGGGTCGGGTGCCTGGAAACTGCAGAGGAGGCGAAGCGGAGGCTTCAGAAGGATCTGGAAGCCATGAGCCAACGGCATGAGGAGAAGGTAGCTGCCTATGATAAGCTGGAGAAGACCAAGACTCGGCTACAGCAGGAGCTGGATGACCTGCTGGTAGACCTGGACCACCAGCGGCAGAGCGTCTCCAATCTGGAGAAGAAACAGAAGAAGTTTGACCAGGTGTGGCTTCCACTCTATCTTCTATGTCCTCCCTAGGCAGGGCAGTGGCGTGGGCATGTCCAGGTGCCCAGTCTGCAGCTTGGTGAGGGGCCCAGGGAGGAAGTAACCAGAAGAGGAGTTAGGATTTAGATTTTAACTAGCTCTTGTTCCACCATGGAGATGCAGACACTGGGGCCAGATGGTATAACAGACTAAAAACACCAGGGTCCCTTTTGGTATGGCTGCGTGTATGCATGTTCCACAGTGCATGTGTCGAGGTCAGAGGACAGCTAGCAGAAGTCTGTCTTCTCTCATCAGGCTTGACAGTTACCTGCTGAGCCTCATGTGTTTCTAGATAAAGTTTCATTATATAATGCCTGGCCACATTTATTTATATGCTGCCACTGGCTTTTTGTGTGATACAGTGGCAGAGCTGAATGAATGGCTGCTACAAAAGGCTGTGCACAGTGGCCTCTACTGTACTTTGCCTTTCTTGCCCTTTGTGAAAAGGTCCCCCAACCCATGGAGCAGGTAAAGGATGAGCCAAAAGGACAAGGAGGGCAGGAGGATAAGGGATAGCAAGGTTGGGTCCACACAGAACAGGCATAAAGGTTGCGGCCATCTTTGGAGGATGGCCCTATCTGGGATTTA